TGGGGTGTGGTGTGGTAGGTATAATATGGTGTGATGTGGTGTGGTGTGGTGTACATGTGGTGTGATGTGGTGTGGTGTGGTGTGGTGTGGGTGTGGTGTGGTGTAGTGTGGTGTGGTGTAGTGTGGTGTGGTAGGTATAATATGGTATGGTGTGCTGTGCTGTGCTGTGCTGTGCTGTGCTGTGCTGTGATGTAGTGTGGTGTTTGAACAGATATACAAGACTTTATATGAATTTTTTTTTAAACAACTTTTGAGGAAAACACATTCAAGTAAGTATCTTATAGCAAACACACAAAGGGGGAAGGATGTGTAAATGACTGGTTTACTGCATAATCCATTTCATAGATTATTGAGCAGTTTTCAAGCCTGCTGTCTACCTGGCTCGGTCCTTTCAGAGAAATTTGCTAAACTCATCCCTCTTACACAGCTGAAAACGTTGAAAGTGGCGTAAAACGCATATCATTACATTGTTTTACAATATTGTTCCTAGTTCTTTTATCCTGATTTTTAACCTTAATAGTATCGATTTTACAGTATCAAACAATACAACTAAGTAACATATGTCTTAGAAAAGAAAAGGTGCCTTTAAGAGGTAGATTTTGTTTGAAAAAAGATGTGGTCACACTTCACAACATTGACCATAACTCACCTTTCTTCTCTCCACTTGACTGGACGAGGTCAGCTTGTTGGACGTAGTAGCACCAGACCGCTGACCCCCTACAGCTGCTGTTGATGTGTTATTGCTGTTGCTGTTGCTGTTGCTGCTGCTGCCGATGGCGTGGGCATCCACACTAACTGTATATGTTCCTGCTGCCTTCTGAGTGTTGTTGGCTCCACCACTGCCAATCTTATCTGCCACTACATTATTGTCACTATGCAGCTCAGAGGAAGCGTTCTTCCCCCTCGCCGTTTTTTCTGTTGGGTGTGCACTGTTACGAGATTTCAAGAACCGGGACTCCGACGTGGTTGCAACGTCCATGCTTTCAGAGAACTCAGCATTCTCTCTCCTTCCCTGACCTTCCTCTTCATCTTCCTCCTCATTTCTTCTCGCCTTACCTTTCACTAGTTTCAAGGTAGGGCCAGCATTGAAATGAGAAGAAGTGTTGGTACCACTAGGTGAAAAATCCAGAATGTTACCCGAGCGAAAGTCTGCAAAGGTAGAAAGGTGTCGATTGTCTAAGTTTGCGGCCATCAATTTTTTGCCAGCATCACCACCACCACTAGGTGCAGCAAGGGGCCTCGGTGAAATCCCATGATCTTCCTCCATCTGACCCCTGACCTCTGGAACCTCCTCCCCTTGAGGCACTGACTCAGTTGATGGCAGTTGTTGGGTCCAGTTCTTCTTATGAGACTCCTGAAGAACAGAAGTGACTGGATTTTGCCGAAGATGATGATCGTCTGAGTCAAAAACGTGACCCCCATCATTCTTCGACGAGTTTTTATCCGAAGAGTGAAAATTATTCTCGCCGTCTTTGTCTCTGCGATCGACAGCCACACGGCTGAGCACGATGTCAGTTTCTGCGGAGGCTGTGCTGAGGCTGTGAGTTATCGGAGGTTTGCTGAAGCCCTGGCTCGGCTCAATGCCGATGGTGCTGATGTCCGAGGACTGGGCACTCTTCAAGGCATTGCGGGAGCCATTGGCAGTTGTCTGATTCCGCACCTGGGAACATACGGTCATAGAAAACAGCTCTTTAAGTTTTAGTAAGAGTTTACAGCACTTGAAACACAATTAGGTTATATAAGGGCCGAAGATTAGAGGTGTTACAAGAGAGTAACAAACATAAAAAAGAAGGAGGAGACATAAGGACGATAGAAATCTGATGGGAAAGAAGGAGTAAACCACACCAGAGCACCTGTCAACCATTTGCAGACAGCTCTAAACTCAAAATAGTCTGATTCAGCGGCCGTACTAGTATCTTTAAAAAGTAGAGCAAATGAATTATGCATTTAATTCAAACTGTGGATTCATTGGTGATACCTAAAAACAAAACAAAAAAAGCAAAATGGAAAATACACATATTATTTGAATCACACTTGTATTCTGTGAACAACAATTACAAATATTCCCAACTATACCTGTAAACAATGGCTATAAAGCTTATGAAAAATGCACTTATTCTAAATTTGTTGATTTCGTATCAGTACCTACAAAGACTAAACCTAACTAAAAACTCATTTATTCTAAATAATGACCATCTGTACAAATGACCACTTCCCATTTCCCACTTCCATTTTCAAAAATTGTATTAATAGACTGTTCAATACGTCCACCTGTCTAAGACAACCGGTGTTTCTCTTGGACAGTTTTTGCTGTAGTTTCATTCAGTACTGAGGTCCATAATTAACAAAGCCAATAAAAAATTTTAATACCTTCATTCTCAATTGCTTGATTAAGTTCTGGTACTTAAAAACAATAAAGCTTATTATACTTAAAATAAATTGTTTGAGTTCATACTAAAGAATACAGAGTAAAAGTATAACGTACCAAATTTTGAAGACATAAAGAAACAAAGGTATAAACCAGCCCATAAAAAAGTTAACTTTTTTCGCAGCATAGACTTGCTTGAGAGTCTGCTTTTTTTTTAGCCAGATTTATAACAAATCTTTCAGACTGCTGAGAAAAGCAGGGAGCCACGTCTTCTCGTCTCACCTGTTTGAGGTATTTACTGTTGATCAAAACCTCCTTGTTTCCGTTGCTGTTTTCGCCTTCAATGTTTGTGTCCATTTTTTCTGGAGCCAATTTTTCACTGATTTCCATTTCTGTCGGCTTGTTCTCGTCTTGGATGAATGTGGATTCCCTGCAAAAGAAAAAAAGAACATACATGAAGCGTTTCATTAATTCGTTTAAGAGAAAGAGAAGCATTTCATAACAATCTTGATGACACAGAGGTAGGAATAATATGATAAATGATGAGTTGAAATTGTTGCAAGTCAAACATTATGTTCTGAATGAGCATGCTTTACAACACCATAAACACAATTTAGACCATTTTGAGGTGAGCAGATTTGACCCCACCCATCAGGGTCAATCCAAGCTGAGTGGAATAAAGCATCCCAGTAGATTACCCCCCCTCCCCCCAAAAAAGAGAAAAAAAATCTACAACAAAAGAAAAATAAGCAGCCCCCAAACACTCACTTGTTTCCCTGTTGAGTGCCACTGTTGTCTGTCTTGCGTCGCTTGCTGGAACTGTGTCCACTGTTGCTTTTGGCCGGCGGGCATGGGTGTCTGTCTAAGGCACGCTCGGTCTGAAAGATCGTGTGACTCACACAGTCGTCAATGGGCACTCGGTCCATGGGGTCCAGTCGAAGACAGGACTGTCCGTTCAAAAGTAAAGGTAAAAGATAAGATTACACTGTTTGCAAAATTAAGGAAAAAGTTATGGGTTTCTTGCACTGAAAGATCAAACAGAAATTATGGATCAGAGCAAAATTTCATGCTTGTTTTATATAGAAAGAGGCTGTTTGTGAAAAAACCCAAAGGCACACATTTTAACATGTTGCCGCCCTTAACAACAGACCAACATTCACATTGCATAGGAGACAAACAGTTAGGTAAACCCATTCCCTTTATATATTTAAGTTGTTCAAAAAAACAGTGGACACGATATACAATATCAAACACTTGTTGTTTTCAAATCCCTTTAGCTGCAAGCAATATCAAACACTTGTTGTTTTCAAATCCCTTTAGCTGCAAGCAATATCAAACACTCAAAATCACTGTTTTATTTTCATGGGAGTAGAACTGATCTTTGTCACTTGTTTTCAACTATGTGTTCTGGGTATTTTCCTTGGCTAAACGAGAAATGTTTACTTACCTTCATAAACTCAAGAGCCACACTAGTCAGGATACCATGATAGTGTTTCTCTAAAGTCTTGGGTCTTCTCACAGCTGGGAACTGAGGATGGATAGACATGAGAAATTGATAAAATTGGCAAAGGAATGTGTTGGGGAGTAAACTTGAACTAATTTGAGAATGTGCATTCTCTCTCTCTCTCTCTTTCTCTCAATCTCCCTGGTTGCAACACAAGCATCTCATTCGAGACAAAAAAAGAAACTTCACATAAGACTTCATCTTGCTTTTGTTTAGATTAGTTTAAGTTTGAGGTGAGAGAAGAAAATCGACACAATAACGTTGACTAAGCGCTCAGAAAAAGCAACAGAGACAGACAGAAGCAACAGAAGGAAAGAACAAGGACCAACAAGTGACATCCTCCAAAAATACAAGTTTACTCTGGCATCTATAAAGTCAGTGGTCCAGTAGTTAAGCTGTAGGGCTCACAGCTGGAATGTTATGAGTTCAAAACCAACAAGGGTCCTACACTGTGTCCTTGGGAAAGGCTCTTTAAAAAGTGTTCCCCACTTCACCCAAGTGAGATTGGGTACCCAGCTATAGACAGCTAAAGATCTTGTCAGTCTGTTAGTATTTGAATGTTTAATCAGCTCAAACTGTATGCTTCCTGGGAAGCCAAGTATGTCTGTGAGTTCTAGGGTCTGATGGACCAACCCCGGTTGAGAGGGAATAATGTACCAGCAGAACGACCAAAATACTCGATAAATATTCTCCCCACACAGGAATTAAACTCAGGTCATCTGCACATGGTAGGAAAGAATCCAACTGATACACCACGGACAATGGTTAAAATCAGTGTTCAAGAGTGTTTTTACAAGACAGTGACACTGGCTGTCCCTCTAGGGTCCCGGCACTTTTCAAAGAGGTTAGCCAAAAGAATCAGAGCCTAACATTTGCCATCTAACATGAAAGGCTGAACGAGTAAGAACCAGAATGTTCCCTATTTCTCCAGTGCTCACCTTCAGGCCGTGGAAGCGGGGATTCCTCATGAAGACCTTCATCTGGTCCTCTGGCAAAGGGCCCAGGATCTTCTGTATGACGTAGAGCTGGTCAATCTCTGAGTCCCCGGGGAACAAAGCTTGACCATCGGCCAGTTCTCCCATAATGCAGCCAATGGCCCACACGTCCACAGCCTTGCCATAAGGGGCTCTGTGGAGAAGGGGGGAATAGGATGGAGGTGGGGGGGGGGGGGGGGAGCAAGATTTTCATTAAAACAAACATTTTAAAACAATTTCTTCATTCATACTAACTACATTTCTTACCCTCACCTCTACAGTTGAACCTGCTTGAGTCGAAAGGGAAAGATAAAATTTAAATTTCAGATTTTAAACCATCTTTAGACTTTTGTCAAATTTAATAAGTAACCATAACTCAGATGCTGTGCAGTACATATCGACCATCTGTTTATAACGACTTTGTTCTATGACCTCAAGTGACTGTTATGGACAAGTTCCACAGGAAAGAAGCATCTTTTTTTTTCAATAATAATAATAGTAAGAATAACAGTTTGTCCTTCAAAGTCTGGTGATGACCAATACATTTGCATTGGAGAACATTTCTTAAGCAAAACAGAAGAAATAAGGGTAAAGACTTGTGGCTTAAGTTATGGCCAATGAGATCAATTCTGGTAACACGTATAACTCCATTAAAACCCTCAAGACACATCAACATTTTCTTCTCCTTTTTGTTTTGTCAAAGAGAAACACATCGATGCAATAGATGTCAACAACAGTGTAATACTGTGCACCGAGAGAAGTGGGTGGTTGCCGGGTGCTCTGGTGTGGTTTGCTTCTTCTTTCCTATTAAACATCTATCGTCCTTATTTCTCCTTCTTCTTTTCTGTGTTTGTTACTCTTTTGTAACACTTGTTTGCAGCCAGGAGAAAAATAAAATATGATACAAACTACCTGTGGTAGAGACAAATGAAGGAACATAGAGAATCGAACCCTAAAGAAGTTCATAATACGCTCAAGCACTTACCCAATGAGTAGCTCTGGGGAGCGGTACCACCGAGTGGCGACATAATCTGTGTATAAACCGTTGCTACCACCGGTGATGCTGCGGGCAAAACCTGGGGACACCACAAATTTTTGGATTGACAGTGAACTAATTTATTTTAACTCTCACAGAGAAATTTGCATTGGTTCAGAGACTGATTAGGAGTTGTTGTAATAGCAACAACAAAAGCAAATTTTTTCATAAATATATGTTGTTGTTTTTAGTTGGGTGAGGGGCGTAGAGGTATTGTCTGTGTTTTATGCCGAATATAGACACAATTTACATTAATTTTTATTGAAGTAGCAGCAATAACCAAGAAAAAGGGTACAAAACTTGAATCGTCCAGGTTCTTTTCTCGACGGTAAATGTTTACTTCCCCATTGATACAACATAGATCATTTAGAAGGCAAACTGCAATGACACTTCCAGGCAAAATTAGCAGGGGCTGAGTGGTATAAAGCTTTCAAGCAGAAAGATGGAGATACTTAGTAAAATAGGCTTCCCTACATGGGAGTTTATCTCTTTTTGCATGCAACAAGGACAGCCTGAAATTTGCACCACAGATGTCAATCTTTGCTTAGTTCAGTTACGAGAAAAATTCTTGTAACTAGATCTTCTTCAACATCTTCAAAATAAACATGTTCTCTCTATCAATAACAAGACATTAAAAAAAGGAAAACAAAGAAATTTTTTGTTGAAGGCTGAACAAGTCTATTAACTTCAGACACTAAATGATTTTGCTCAAATGAACGGCATTATGAAATAACTCTAAACAAAGACAAAATGATTACTCACCAAAGTCACAGAGTTTAAGCACTCCATCCTTGCTGATAAGCAAATTTTCTGGCTTGATATCTGTACAGAAAAGGACAATTTTCTTAAAAATATGACTCTAACACATTGAATTCCTGTTACTGTCACATTCTACGAAAAAATTTTAGCATAAATAATGACTTTTTACAAATCGGAGCTGTAACTTTTCAATAAAAAATGCTTATGTAGTTTCGAAAATATTTCAGGGTTTTAGTTTTTGTCTCAAAAGGTACACCTATAGCTACAAGTAAGCTACCAAGTGGTTTACAAGAGATAAATAGCCAACACTTACATACCACTATCAACCCCACCAGCAAAAAAAAAAACACTAACAAAACTTTTGATGTAAAAATATGCATTGGTGTGATGTGTACTTCACTCATTGCTATCATAATTTAATCTATGGCCTTTTGTATCTTGAAAGCAGATCTTTAAGCAGTATCCATGATAGAGCTTTGCCTGCATGGTAGACACTAGGGCTGGATTCTGCTCGGTTAATCGAAGGCTTGTAAAGCAGTGGAAGTCTTGCGCTAGAGTCTTGCGAGCAGGCTTGTGGTTTGATTTGCCTCCCGCTTGCTACCGGAGGGAACTTCCGGTGAGTTGTGACTCGCGGACAGTCCTGCTGTACTGTGTCGTGA